CTGCTTAGTCTCGATGTCCCTAATGGCCTAAACACTTGCCTCCATTGTGGAGGTTCCCTTTCCTAGAACAACACAAAGCCTATAATCATTTCTTTGTCTAGAAAGCGCGTTGGCCTCTAGTCGCCAGAGGGGAACCAACCCCATTTTCATTATATTTTGTCCGCCGCAAGAAATTTAAATCAGAAATTCCTCCGAGTTCGGAATGGATTTTGAAGGGCCATGTGGACTTCAATACTTTAAAAATCCTGACATTGATGAATAAGATTCTCCAAACTGACCAGACTCTCAGTCCTTCACTCTACAGGGATAGTTTACCTGAGGAAATGGATTTGGTACAATTTTTGCACATAAACGGACTGTATCTGCATGATGAATTATCAATACGTTTCAAATTGCCACCAAATCCATTACAGTTTCAGAAAATCGGTCGATTTCTGTACTAACGAAATAGTAAATGTCAGTTTTATAACTGCAGATATGTCTTGTATTCACTTGTTGCTTGAAGGAGGCAGTATGACAGGTATGCTTATAACTTGGTCATTTGATCTATGATGGCCATTGTAGTTTTGAGAGAACATGGTAGAATAATTGTTTATGGAGGTAATTTTCTGACCGTTAGTTTATCAAGACTGTCATATAATCATGGCATAGTCAACAGTATTTCACTGAAATTTAAGGTGAAGAGAACTGTCACTTTTGATATTTTTGTCTCCTATATCTGCACCGAAAACTCTGAAAAAAAAACATTATGCATAACAGAACTGGGAATTGATAACCACGATTAATTATCATTTGTGCACCACGAAGAAAAATTATGATAAAAAATCAAGATCTTAGTGGAAGGAACGAGCTGCGTATCGATACCATGGATTAGGCTACATTTATATAGGTTCTGATATCACTTGCTAGTCTAAACCTTTGCGCCTTCTAAAACAACATTAGCTATTGTTATTTGCAAGAGATCGTTGGTGGGTAACATTCCCCGTGAGTACCGCGGTGTATACAAAGACAATATCTCCATTTATGATTTTATATAATCACAGAAAGCCAGTTACTTCACTTCCTATGAAATCGAAAAATATCTTTCAGTGTAAAAAACTTAGCAGTGAGTCATTTATTCATTCATATAAAAAGAATCAACAAGAAACAAATAGAGAATATTTTGATAATAATTCATTCATAAAATATTTCCTTGACGGAGAGCCGCCAATTAGGCTGACACGAGCCGTGCAACCAATACCACTGTTTTAGACGCAAAGATTTTGCAATAAGCCAAATCATATATATATATGTGTGTGTGTGTGTGTGTGTGTGTGTGTGTGTGTGTGTGTGTGTGTGAATTAATGAATCAGTAAAATAGGTAGATGGATAGATTAATAGATGGATATAGAAACAGATAGATAAATAGACTCTCTCACACACATTTTCTCACTCACATACTGTTTTTGGGAAAAACAAGAAAATGCGGTCATGCAAATAACAATCGAAAATATAGATAACTGAGAAAAGATTAGTAACTACCTATATCTATCATACCTTGCATCGTTAGCGAAGTAATCAAATCCAATACCAATATTCACAAATAAGTAGATTTATATTCACAAATAAGTAGATAAATAAGACAAATAAATATATGGTTGTGAGATTTCCTGGTTATGAAAATAAAAATATATATATTGACATGCAGAGACGGTTACAATGCGATGCAATATTCGATAAGTGAAAACAGAAAGCATTCATGTCCACGTAATGATGATTCGATCTCTGGCATTGGTATACATTATATGTGTTTGGGATCAATAACGATACCATTTGTATGGTTATTGATAGTGATCCCATCAGTGTGTTCTTCATCACTGTAAAGAAATAGATATTATCTAAAGTAGTATTAGGTAGATTGATACTGATCTCGTAAGTAGCATGAACTGTTGTTCGTAATCATAAGTTGACAACAAATCCTCTACATATTTTGTCACTGCATGTAATGATTTTCTCTATTTTTGCCAATGATTATATGACATATATCCAATACCACTTGTCTGAATTCCTCCACCGAAATGCTGCGTCATCGACATCCCTTGCTCTTAGCGTACAGTTCAGTGAACGGCGTAAAGCAGATCAGTTTCACTGAAAATTCCGTCAGATGTCTTTAATTGTCCCTTAACTGGAAAGAAATTCCATTTTCAGATTAAGACCAAAATGTGATATTCCAGATATGTCAGACCATGTTGGTATAATTGTTTTTACATCATCTAATTATTAACTGGTAACATTTTTGCCACCGTATTTCCACCAACCTGTCTAACCCCATCGTGGTGTCGCCTTGATAGAAAGTTGAGCCATGTTAGTGGTCGCCCCAGGAATTCATTGCTCATAAATTACATATTTTTTTTTTCAAACTGTACAGACTTTTATAACACCAACCGTCCTTGTATTGCCTTCGTCAGTTTCTATGAGATATTCATTTGTTTTCCTTTTTATTGAGACCATCCGTAACTAT